AAGATATAAGCTCATCTCGGTAATGCACTCATCGAGACCTTTCATTTGAGTACCCACATCAATTTTTCATATATATATATATATATATATATTTCACAAATACTATATATATAAAATATATAAAAAAATGCATGTGGGTACTCTAATTAAAGGTATTGATGAGTGTAACTCAAAAATGAGCTTATATCTTCAAAAATGTCAATAATTAAGAAAATACATTATATATTGTCAAATAAAAAAATGTATTGAAAAAAAATTTATATTGAAAAAAAATTTTTCCTAAAAATCCAATTTAAGTAATTAATATTGTTCCTAAATGAAACAATTCAAAATAATTGAATTAAACGGAGTTACATCTCCATCATTACATAAAAAATTTCTAAAAAGCTTTTAAAACTGCCGTAAATTAAATATTAAATAAATGTCTATGTCGAGTTTTCTTCGCAGAGGCTATTTGAGAACGATCGATATTCCAATAAAGGAATAGTAGAGCTTTCAGTATTACACCATTCCCTGCTTTTTTTTTCTTTTCGTATTTTCATTAACTAGAGTTTACGTTATACTTAAGTCTTAATAGAAGACAGAAGCCAGAAGATTGTGTGTGCTACATTAATTATCAGCGTAATTGAATCAGAAATTGTAATTTTTTATCAATGAATCATTAATGTTCATTTAGAAAAAAAAAAATATTATTTATCTTTCAATACACCCGACTAATCATAATTTATAATTTTAATACCGATAAAAGTATAAAACTGTCAACGCAAAACGATAAAGTTGTTAACTTTTTTAGCTTTCATAACCCGCCGACGATAAAATTAAAATAAAACTAGTTTCCTTTTATAAACGTTAACCAACCAACCACCTGTTCGAACAAAGGCTTCGCTGTTCATTAAAAGGAAAAAAAAAATGCTTGCGATAGAATGAATAGCACAAAAAGTGTGTCATCAATTGTAATTTAAATATCAACACTGTACTATTAAACTTTCAACTCATAACTTTCCATCTATCAAAGGAAATTTTTTATCAACAAATAATAGCAAGAGAAATGTTTTTTTTTTTCTCGAAAAAAAAAATTAAATTAAATTAAGAGAAATGGATTTTTATGGTTAAATTTTGTGGAAATAAATGAGCCTTAATAAATGATTTAGTAACATTGCTAAATATTTGAAGGTTTGTTGCTAAATAATTTAGTAACTGGGGCATTCCATAGTTACTGGTGGGACATTTGACTCTGAAATTCCATCAATTATATATAATTATGTGACTGAAACTTATACTATAGTAAAATTCATCTTATAATATAAAAGACTAACTAATTAACAACATCTCTTTGTCAAAAACCTCCATTACTTTTTAAGTTTCTTGAAATTATCATTTGACTGAGTGTGACTGGTGGGACTAAGAACAAATCCTTCTCTCTTACCAAAGGTATACTTAAAATCCAATTTCAGTTCGACCACTAAACTGAAAAAAAAATACTTCCCTCGAAAATACTAAATTAATCCTACAAACATTGAATATTATGAAGAATTAGACTAATTACCTACGTAGAAACAATTAAAAAAATTTGTTTTTATTGTGACTGGTGGGACAGGCATTTGTCACTGGTGGGACAAGTACTAAATGTCTACATCAAGTTGTTTATTAAAAAGACTTTTATATTATTTCAACCTTACAAACATTATTGTTTATATATTTAACTATAAATTATTTAGGATAATTAAAAAAAACTAATTAAAAAAGACAAATAAAGGATTTAGCATGCTGACAACACGATCTTGATAAACTTAGGTGTTAATTAATAACGAACATAAACAAAATTTGTTCTTAAAACTATAATAATAAATATGTTAGTTAATAACAAACATAAAATGAATTTGTCGTTAAAACTATTAAAACAACATTTGACCCGGATACAAGTTAGTACGGCTGAAAAGTTACTAGGAGAGAAAAAGTGATTTTCTTATTGATTAAAAACAATTTTCTTTACAAATTAGTAAAATATAGACTTTAAATAATAAATTAGGAATAAATTAGAATGAATTAGAGAAATTTTTTAATTTTAGTCATTTTCTTATTTCGCATGGAATGTCCCAACTATTACTAAATCTTATCATATAGAACTAAATCCTTCTATCAGTATATTAATCTCCTTGTACTTATAATTGTCTATAACTTCTAAAACATCGAGAAAGTATAATTTCAAGCACCACAACCATGAAAGCAAAGACGGTATAAAACCCGATAAAATAATAATTGAATATCAAATTATCAAAGTCAAACTGTTCATAATCTTCACTCTCTTCACTTCTCTTCTTTAGAGTCAATTTTTTCTTAAAGAATCCGTCAAAAAATCTTTTATTAACAATCACGGAATCAAATCCAGGTTTTCGAGTCTTGATCATCATTTTATCAAACTTATCTTTCAAGGGCCAGTTTTTTCTTACCCAATGGACTAATTGCTTTTTGAAAACAGGTTCTTTGGACACATGCAATTCTGGCTCATTATAAGCCGCCGCCAGAAACGAGTTTGTGCCAAAAATACAGGCCATCTTCGGGTTGTCAATAAGAAATTCAACGCAGTCATTCATCCCGCCTAACGTTATCGGTTTAAGATATTTTTGGTCTTCTTCAGTGATCCAAAGCTGCTCATTGATAATGTCGTTCTCCAATCCGTAATAATAGTATACATCGTACTTGTTCTCATAAAGATCCTTAAGCGTCTCGATGTTTCGCCTCAAAGGATCCGACAAGATGGCTGAAAGGTTACCTTGAAAGTCAGGAACAATCAGAAACGCAAACAGGAACCCAAAGAAGAGGACGAACTTCATCACCAGACGGCTAAGTGGAGTTTTAAGTCCCATACTGACGACCAGCCTTACCATGTCCAGCACAGCTAGCTTGAGGTCATCTCTGTTGATCATGAACATCAGTATAGTGAACAGAACGAACAGAACTATTGTTCCAACCACAAACCGAACATTCTGGGTCAGATCGCTGATCACTGTCAAGAAATTTGTTTTCTTGGTTGCGATTGAAAACGATTTCTCATGATAGTAAGCAATGACGTCGACGTGGTTGTAGTCAGTGGCTTCTATTGGCATTATTGGAGCATAGATGTCACATGAATTGTCGGCTAATTGTTCAATGTAACCTTGCTCCAACAAGTCAAAGTAATTTGGAGGAGGAATAAACTTTATTTTCGACGTAGCATTTATCAAAGTTGGTACTTCGAATATAGTTATTCCATTCGATTTCTTGATTCTTGTTTGCTTCTTTTTTCTCGGGTGACTTATGTCCAAACTGTCTCTCGATTTTAAAAATTTTATCTCTGCATCTTCCAAGTGATCTGTCTTGTCAAAGGTGATGATTTTACAAATCTCTGGCCCTGAAATCAAACAAACCGGGTTATTACTACTGATCACGACTGTAATGATTAATAATAAAAGTACCTTTTGTGAATTGGAGCCTAAAGAGGCTAATCTTTTTTTTGTTGTCGCTGAATTTGTCAACAAGCTTCCACGGGGCCGGTGCATAGCTTGCATAAGGATTCAGTGTGAAGATGGCCGTCGAATTTTTCTTGTTGCACAAGTAATAAACAGACAACAAATCTCGGTCCCACATGAATTTCAAAATTCTCCAGGCGCTGAGGCAACGCGACTCGGTCCCAACGATCACAAACGGTGATTTGATGTTCCAGAATTTGGATTTTTGGAGATTGTCGATCACCGGTTTAAGATTGTCGATCGAGACGAATGGAAGAACGTAAGTCGGATAAGCGGGGAAGAAACCTGTGATCTGTTTGTTGAATTTGTGATCGATTATGATCCACGAATTGAAAGCCTCAGCAGAGTTATAATCGTTGGGAAGCAGGTCCTTGGAGATCACTAGTGGGTTCGAATTATTCGTTAAACACATTTCAACCAATTCCCTCTGCACAAAATAAATTCGATGAATTTTCATTCAAAATCAAAATTATTATTTTAAATTAAATAAACAATTAGACTTACCGCGTCGCGTTTGAGACGTTCTGAAGAACCTTCTTCCCTTGAACCATTCATTTTTATTATATTTCCCCCGACAATCGCAGCTATCAAACAGCACAAAATAATTTCTCGCCACATTTTTATTCTCTTATCACTTAATTGCAATTTATCGGGCGATATTTTACCCCCAATTTATTAAAAATTGTTGCTTTAATTAAAGTAAGTCAAAGAAGGGCGACATTTCTACCGGAACAGTCGAACGTCTGCTCTCTTCAGTGGATATTTTTCTAGTGACTGCAATATGGGAAAAAATAGGAAAAAATGAATACAAAGTATCCATAGCAACATTTGTTATTACAAATCGAAAAAAAAAATCTATATATAATTCCCGGGAAACTGCTGCGTTACGCGCAAATTTATTAGCTATTAGTTAATTGAATGGCTCGCGGATATGTCGTGTTAATGAAATTCATCAAAAATTCATGATTGTTCTTCGCTATGATCTAGGCATGCACATTTCTATTTAACGAACTTTTAACTTAGAAATAATTATAAGAGCTCAGTAAAATAATTTAAAACCCTTTAATTTTTTTTCTTTAATGCGATTTTTATAATTATTCTAATTAATAATTTAAAAAATTTGCCCGTCTGTCAAGTATGAAGCTTGTAAACACTGTAACTTGCCAAAAAATCTATTAATTCAGTCAAATTTTTTTTTATTCAATTCTTTGAAGGAATAGTAGGTTCCTTATTGTGAATCGCTAGGTAATCTAGTGTATAAAATAAAATAAAGTGTATGAAATAAAGATCACTATACGGGTGATTCTCTGTAAAGACGTCTTAAATCTGTACAAAATTGTCCGACTAAATTATTTTTGATTTTATTAGAAAAAAAATTAACAAGGGCTACAAAACTATCTTAATCATAATAAATAAACAGATTTAATTTTTGCTTTTTCGATATTTGTGTATCTTTTGCAATATAACATCACAGGGGACTGTTTGCCAGGGGACTGTTTTTTTTTATCAAATTGAGAAAAATCAAGCAAACTATTTCAATGCATTCAAATTTTCAAGTTCTCAATGAATGTTTACATTAATTAGAATAATATTAAGACTAATGGATCGAATTTTATAAATAAATTATAAATAAAAATAGTTGCCAGGGGACTGACGTTTT